CCACTTACAAAGCAAATTGACCATCATTCGAACAAAAAATTATAAAAATTCACTGTCATGTGGACTTATCTCGCAGACTTCGGCTGAAATGCCACCCAAAAATGGCGGCGTGAGAAAGGCTGATTGATGTTTAGGTGCGGCAAAACTATACCATCTGTGACATTTTTAGCGTAGCAAAATTAAGTAAACGTTTAAAAAATCTTCCCTCAAGGTATGCCACGCGTGTAATATTTTTTATTAAAAATCCTGAAATAAGAAATATACAATTGAACTCAAAAAGTTGTGGAGCGCAAAAAAATTAAGAGACAGCCTGGCACTAGCATCCACGCACCGAGATGAACTGACACGTTCATGAGCATCCTCGGTCCCAGGGCCTCACGGCTGACACTGCGTTGCGCGAGAACCTTGGACCGAGGATGGTTCATGAGCTGAAATGAACAGAAAATACAGAATTTCCTAGCTATTTGAGTTTTAGTTTGGTGTAAGGCATTCCAATGTTGGAATTAAGTTCAGTCTTGAAATTTTTATCTGAGATGCACTCCAAATATTTGGGTTCAATGGTATATATGTGACTCCTCTAAATCGAATAATTGTCTTAGATATCCATTGATTCACTATCGCGCAGTTAAGATATGGAACGATATTGATGATGAACTGAAAAAGATTCCAGAACTCAAGGTTTTTAAGAAAAAACTAAAAGGTTTTAATAGACAATCGTAACTTAGGCTTTGAATAGTATAGTATAGCTTTATTTTAAATTGCATATTGTAATTGTATGTTGAAAAGCTCTTTGGGGATCAATAAATCAGTCAATGAACTCTCTAAAAGGCTCCATGAATTAAGTTCTGGTCAAAACTAAAATCCATGCGTTTTTACTGTCATGTTTATTCTAAGCTAAATCTAAATTCCCTCACAAGTCATGGGGCACATTCATTATTTTTTGTTTCTGACTGTAGTATTAGCCTCTTGGTTAGTACAGTCATGGCAAGCACCTATAATTCTCTGTAAAGTACTACTTTTAATATTATTAATTCTTAAAATTGTACAATATGGTGCTGAAATAAATTTTGTCTCATTGCCTCAGTATTAAGCAACGAAAGTAAACGTCTCTTCCTGGAAAAGGATGACAATCGTCTATACATGAGGCTAACGATCTGTGAAGGTGTCTCGCCAACTTGCTACAAGAACTATTCCTGTGGTCCCCGTTTCTTCTTGCGGCAGACTGTCCAGAACGCGAACAGTTTTTTGTCCAACATACCGTATATAAAAGGATTCACTGAATGCGAACCAGCAACTCTAAGAACATTAGCAAAATACCTAACCCAAACATATTTCATTTGTAGATGATATTCACCAGCGGTGTACCACATTAACCACACCGAAAAAGGAATATTTCCAACTGCGTAGCAAAGGACGGTAATAAAACAAACAAGAAAAACTCGTCGATTACGAATATATCTCAAGTTTTTGAAATAAGTGCTGGGCGTACTTTGTGTTACTGAATGTGAACATAACATGCTTTTCAGGAATTTGTTTTGTTTGGCGAGTGTTTGACCTATTTTACAATAAAATACTCCCATAAATATTGTTGGAGCAAAATATAAGGAAAATATTTTGTATGCATAAAAAATTCTCTGATAAGCTACGTTTACGACATTATTCTGTATAAAGCATAAAGGTAAGTATGCTCCATAGCCTGCAATGAAGCCAACGATGTACACCAAACCACAAACGACTTTCAATTTCCGTCGACTGACGTCAGGTTTTAAAGGATGCACAGTAGCACGATAACGAAGCACTGAAATGATCGACATCATACCAACTCCAGCGACTTGAAAAACGTAACTTATCTTTGTAGCAACACAGTATTTGATATAGTTATCAAAAAGTGGTTGAAAATTATGGTTGATATGATCCAATATGTAATTGATCGTTGTCGCGAGATCACAGATCGCAAGTTGTAATACAAGATAGTAGTAATTATTCTTCAAAACAGCCTTTCGTCTTAGTATGGACATGATTACCAAACGATTACCGAGAATCCCAAATACGAGTACTACAACGCCAGAATATCTATAGACATCAAGCGTTGTCTTCCCCATTGTTTCACTTTCAAGAATTAAGAATTAAGAATTGATATTTTCGTTCCCTTCGGTTTCAATTGAAGATCAAACTAATGCTGGCGCTTGGAAAACAAGACGATATAAACAGCACGATATTACAAACACCGGCTGCATCAAGCATGTATTCTACCAATAATGTCGCTTCATCTAAGGACAAGCTGTTTGGTACTTATGCACAAATGTCAAAGTGTTTTGATATATGGTATATTATATTAGCTACAGTATTAAGGCGTCCTAACAAAAGGCCACTGCTCGAAACTCCTGAGTTTCATCTATATGCATGCAGACCTGGAAAAAAGTGGTATCTCGGGATCCTGGATCCTGGGGAACATTTGCCTTTGCAACAAGATTGAGGACTTTAGAGAATTTTAAGGAATCATATTAATTTGCCATTTGAGTCTATTTTGAGATTGCGAAGTGTTATTCATATCCTGTTAATAGAATTTGAAGATTGTTTTGCAATTTTACAACCAATATAGTTGAGGAACATTTGAAAAAAGGCAAATTCAGGATCCGAGGAACATTGAACACTTTTACCAGGTCTGCATGCATGCATGCATGCAATAAGACTTTCCCTTGTTGCACTGTATATGTAACATTTTACACCGGAATGAAAGATGTACTATCTTATTTCCTACGATATTTCACAAATTTCATTTGCGAATGCATAATTGTGCAAATGCATATAGTACTTGTGAATGACACCGCATTATGAGTTTCGACAAGAACAATATGGTGTTATCGCATTTTTTAAAAGATACCATATACGGGGGGGGGGAGCAATGCGCATCCAAATGACGGATTTTGCGCAACATGTTATTCAACTGCAATTTGTTCCCTGGCGAGACTGGAAGAATATGCATATCAAAGTATTCAACTGTTTTACCATTTATGTTTCACTTATAGCCACAATAATAGAATGGACGACTTGCGCTTTCGACTAAATTTTAATCTAAGTAAGAACAACGAAATCTATCACCACAGCTGGAAAGAGCGTCTTGGAATTAGTAATATTACAAAGTTTGGTTGCGCAATGTTGTAAAATACGGAAAATATAACCCTTTAAAGTTGGCAAATTTGTATACTTTTGTATTACGTGCGTGAATTGATAACTAAATTAGTTACCAATTTCCGCACGTAATAGAAATGTATACAAATTTGCCAACTTCGCAGGGCTATATTTTCCGTATTTCACAACATTTCGCAACCAAACTTTGCAGTTTTTCTAATTTTGATAACTTCTTTCAGAAAATATCCTTTGTTATTCCCAGATTAAAAATTTTTCTAAAGCGTAAGTCGTCCATTGCAAATAAAATCATTTTTGTACTTCAGCATATTTTGTCTCCACCTTGCATGCAAGCCCTAATTAGTCTCTTTACCTCTGCACGGCGTTACGGCAGCGCGGCAAACTTCAAAGCTACAAAATCAGTAGAAGGCCTTTGTTTGATGTTAAACTGTACCTCGCCATGCACAAATCTTTTGTCTCAATTTCATTAAATATTACTCATCGTGGTTGCAAGATCTCGGCTATCCCTATTGGGCGATTACTTCATTATATTATACGAAAATACAACTATGAGCTCAGTGACCGTGCAAAATTAACATAAACTCAGACAAAAACATAATACAATAATTTCTGTTTTATAATATTTGCGGTGTTACTCTGAGTGTATATCCACACCGGGCGACCTTGAAAAATATGCCCGGCCACGGTGGGATTCGAACCTTGTTTCCAACATGTATCATATCTTGATAGACTATGATATGATATCAACTACAACTATTACACAAGTACTAGTAGTTCTAATATATAGTGAATGAGTAACTCAAAAGGACAAGGCACAAACGGGACGTTTAGACTTTTGCAAGGTGCCCCTCCTCAGGCCACATAAAAAAAATAGTTGGTTAGCGTCCCCGCCAACCCACAAAAAAGGCCCCGCTCAGGATTTTTTTTTTATTTTAAAAAACCCCGATTTTATTGATCAACGGGCTCTAATATATGTAGTATTTCTGTTGACTGTAGTCAATTGTGTTAATAACTTGCGTCCGAAAATGACGGTATGAATTATATTTTGAAATATATAAAAAAATATCTGTACTGCGCAAGAAAATCCAGTTTCGGACCTAACAGTGAGTAAAACCAAGGCGTTAGTAAAAATTTAAAAAAAAGCGCCCGCCCGCCCACTTTTTGGCAAAAGCTAAGGACGCTAACCAACCATTTTTTTTTATATGGCCTTACAATGACATTAAAATTATATTTTATATATAACTAAATAAAGATAATGCAATGAAATAATATCTATATATCTAGTAAACGTGATAACCATATCGTATTTACAGTGGCGTAACGGGGAAAAAGAGGGGGCCCTTAGGCATATTCTGTGTGGGGGCCCCAGTTGTCATTGTTTGACTGAGATAATTATTATCAATTTATATTGAATATTTACAGAATGTTCTGGAAAATTCCGTGTCTATAACAATAACAATAACAGTCTCCAACACATGTAACAACCAATAAGAATAACTTTTGTTTTATTTGAGATGGAATAAATGAATCAGCTACCGTTGTCGATGGAGGCTTTATTGTGTAGCACCATTAATTTCGCATTTTCCCATTGATTCTTCACCTGCATTTTTTACGTTTTCCAATTTTCTGGGCGATAGACTGTGGCTGATGGGGGCCCCTAACTGTTGGGGGCCCTTAGTTTTTGAACTAACCCTAACCAATGAGTGTATTGTCTTTACGAGTTTTTTAAATAAAAATGGATTAGAAAGAACTACGTAGAGCAGAATTACAAAGAATGTTCCATAATGTGAGAGCACGGTTGGATATAGATTATAGATATCAAACTATAATCTTTCATGCGGAGTCTAGGCTCAACGAACTAAAACGTATCCCATCGACTTAATGTTCTTTTTTCCATTGTCCGTTGTGCATGTTCCGTAATTACCGCTAGTAGGTATTGCAGAGTCATCAACTATGCATGCAGATGCTTGGTGTTTGGCTCCTATACCCAGAAATGAGTCAGGTGAATTACAGTCATTTTGCTCGTTGCCAAGGATACCAATTCGAACACTAGTGAATTGCGACAAAGGTTTGTAGTTGTTGAAGCCCTCTTTGTTGCATTGCCGTTGAAGTGACGCACCCGCCAGCAATGACTTCCACTTTTCTCGTCCAACAAAGGTACGATGAAATTTTCCGTCAGCGATCACACTGTGCAATGATTCACCAGCGTAAGGTATCGTCAGGAAGCGTAAATCATTGCCGACTTTCATTCCAATACATAGCTCCTTAAATGAAGTACTCCAGTAGGTTGGCAGTTTTGTTTCCACGTCATCAAACCCAGTTGTTCCACCAATGGGATTAAAGGTTTGTTTGTTCGACCAGTAGGAGGAACTGTATTTAAATGTTTTCTGTTTCAAAATAAGGTAATTTAATTAAACAAGATGAATTTAGTAGTACCTTGCTTACTTCGATAAAGCAGTAGATTGCATAGTTTATTTACCTTGTTTCTGCGTTCATATTATCCCACCTAATATCCCACCTCGTTCGGACGATATTTGTAAACATGACCTCTTTAAAATATTTTTTGTTGTAACCAAACTGCACCTTGTATTGTGACACATCTCAGTGTATTGCATCTTGTATAGAGCGTCTGCACATGATGTCACAGCCGCCATGTTGGTGTTCCAATTCAAAAGAATTTTAATTCGACTGTTTTGTCTGGAACTACAACATGGCCGCCATGGCTTTTGTTGAGTTGGTCTCTGGGGAATGAGTGCAAACGCTTTATATATTGCTTGTATTGTTACTGCATCTTGCATTCCTTAGTCCTTGCATTGCCATCATTATTTGTATTTTCCAACCATGCCAGGTTAGCTGTGTTCATTTGAAAAGGCCCTTAGCGGATTTTACGAAGTTCTAATGCAAATTTTTTCGTGCGAAGCAATTCCACGGCCGGCTTTTCCTTCCTACTTTATTATTTGGAAATTTATACTATACTTGCATGCAAACAAAAATGGGGATAGAAAGTAAAATTCAAACCTTATGTCCATCGACTTTCATCACCATGGTCCAACCACCACCTGCACAGCCTTCAAGTGACGTCATCTGACAGTAGGTTTTCGTCATCCCTGTGTCTGTCTTGGTTTGAATGTTGTAAACACCGTTTGGTAGATCACTGAAATATTTCAAAGTAAATTAAATTAGAAACATACTTAATGGTCTGGATTTACCAATGGATTAACATATAATATCAACCATTTGCAAACATATGTAGATAAACTTAAAGCAAAAGGCAAGAAATTTTCTTGCCCTATAGTACTGTGTTACCAAAAGTAAACAAATTTACCTTCGTATCTGAAGCAATTCTTTACAAGAAGTCCCTAAAACGTTGTATAAATACTTTACTGTTGCAGTATGTTATTGCAGTTTCATGTATGCGGGCTCATTATATAGGACATAGTTATGCTTGTTTGTTTGTTTTTGCTTCAAAATAGTTCAGTTCCCTTTTTTGCGCCCTTTAATACTATTATATAGATCAATATCAGAAAAACCTCTCGTTTCCAGTCAGGTGGGTTAAAGTTTCTTTCCCCAAAAATATGAAATTTTATCCCCGCAAGGTGAGATGTCATCTAACCGTTTCTTATATGAACACAATTTGAATTTAATATCGGTTGACCAGACTTTTTGGATTTCACTCATCAGACGAGATTTCTTGGTTGGCTGGGCTCATATAAACAGGCTGTTACTGGAGAATGGAATTTAAGATATATCTCTTGATGGATCTGCCGCACGATAGTGCTTAGTAAACCCCAACTATAGAGGGAGTAATAAGCCTACCAGTCACTTCGTCACCGCAAAACTTGCCAGTAAAGTTATGAGGACAAATACACTTGAAGCTGTTACTGGGACATTGTTCTGCAACACACGTTCCACCATTTTTACACACTTTGGCTTTCGAACATGGTGGTGGCTGGAACGAAAGGGAAGAAATGGAATATTCAAAGAAAATGGAACTATATATCGAAAAACATCAATTAATGTGATTTTATATAAACAAAACTGAATTTTTTTCACATGTGAACTGTTTCATTTCCACATAAATTATGACTTTTATTTGTGAATTTTAGTTGCCGAATTACCATTTCAGAGCACACCCTTTTCTATGTACTATTTAAAACACGAGTAGGAGTGTTTTATGAGATATATAACGCGAGGCGCAGCCGAGCGTTTTGAATGGCTTAAAATACTAAAGTGTTTTGAATAGCTTAAAATACGACTACAAAAGAATACTAATTAGGATGAACCATAGTATAATCATGCTAATTAAGATGAACAATTATATAATGCCACATGTGTTTTATCAGATATAAAGTCACTCCACGTGACATATTATGGCTGCCATGATTTGCCACAAGGTTTATGAATTATTAATGAGTATTTTAAACACATTTACACCATTAAATCAATTATCAATATACAATATGGATCCATCTTACCGGTTTGTCTCTGACTGCCTCGTAGAATTGCCAAATGCCTCCATGGGTTGTGTTTTTCGGCTTGGAATTACAGATGCGCATCGCTTTGAATAGTTCGCAATTCGGTTGAGGGTTTGTAGAGGAACGATATTTAAATCCGACGCAAGCAGTGCTCGTGTTAAAACAATGCACGGCACATGATGACAAATAACTGACATTATGAGTCGACAAAACCATTGTGGTTAAATTTCTACCTAAATAATATGAAGACATTACGTTTTGTATTAAATGTTGCCATCTTAAGTCTTTTAATCGGAACATTTAAAGTGGTCTTAGTTTACCAAAACCACGTACTAACAATATGAAAAATAGTTTTGTGTATGACGGAGTACATCTTTGGAATTATATTCCCAAAGAAATTAGGGCGAGCAGATCTCTTTCTTCCTTTCAAAATAAAATCGCAGCTCATATAAATGAGTCGACCAAAGTAAATTGATTACCCGTAAATAGTCTAACAACGTTATTATTATGTAATTAAATAATTTAAATATTCCATTTTTAAAAACATAACTATTTTTGTAAATAGCTCTTTATATTAATAGCACTTCTAAATTGTAACATTGTTTTTTTGACACGCCCCTCATGGAAATCAGCTGCGGTTGATAGGGTCAGCGTGTATAAAATAAATTTTTCTATCTATCTATCTTTATCGTCTAAAATGATGGTGGCACATACGCTAGCCTGCACGGACGGGGGGGGGAGGAGAAGAAAGAGGCTAGTGAAATCATGCAGTTTGAAGCTAGTGAAATCATGCAGTTTTCGTGACTAAACGCCATGAAAAAAATGTTTAATGTAAATAAAATACAAAAAAGGCGTAAAAAAGTCATTCAATTCTTGTTGATGACTAATCAAATTACACCTTCAAAATTTGAAGGGCCTTTCGTCACGAAAGCCAACTTTTACTGTTATTCCTCTTTTTCATTTTTTAATCAAAGACTGGCAAATCTGTTTTAGTCTCAAAAACAGAGACAAGGCCATGCCTTCGACTATTGGAAAAAAAATTATTCCGAACTTTACGGTAAACTATACGAAAATGAAAAAAAATATAAAAAAACCAAAAAAATAACATATCTTTTTTTCCAACTTACAGTGGAAATAGGAATACGTTGGAATAACCTGAAAAATAAGACCTTTCAAGCAAATGCCCTTAGTTGGAGTTTATCGAGGAGACTAGCAGGAATTATATATATAAGCAAATTTTATTACTGCACAAAGAGAAAAAATGAAAAATAGAAATTTGGAATTATAAACAGCCATTCGGCATGATTTGTTAAACAGCGATGTATTCTCGAACGGTTGGTGCCAATCTACAATCATGGAAATAATATCCGTAGACTTTTTTAAAACGCATCTTGTCTGACTATTTTGTAAAGCCATTTTATTTTTAGCTAATACAAACGTCCATGATCGCTAGAAATAGTAACTCCCCCCCCCCCTCCCCTACCACAATGTTGGTTCAAACCATGGTTATTGGACCTCAGACCAACATTGTAAACGGGGAGGGGGGAAATTGAGAAATTTTTGAAAAGTCTACGAATTAATTTCCATGATTGTATAGGTTGCAACGATAACAAAATATCTACGGACTGAAAGAGACAACTACTTGGAAATTATACGTATAGAACTTCGACGTTTCGAGCGTGAAGGCTGTTTTCCACTGGGAGGAATTTTACGCGCGGAGCGTAATTTTTCTTTGTCTTGTGATTTCTCGGGTGGAACTAATTTTAAAGACAAAGAGAAATCCCGCGTAGTGGAAAGCGGCCTTTACGATGAAGGGTCGAAGTTCCGCTTATATTTTCAGGTAGAAGTATCTCTCTCTCAATACACCAATACTCACCTTCAATTTTCTTGAGGAATAATTTGGCACATGTGCTCTCTTCTGCCACTCCAAGCCTTGAGGAGAAAGTCCAAATGAAAACAAACCAGACCACGTTTCGATAAATCAAAAAATATTTGCGGTCAAACATGTTCCTTTGCTAACCTATAGCTTTCTTACTTTGCGTGTGTGTCGTAGGCGTCACTTTGTCTTGATCTTAATAATGCCGTGCAGCGATGTTTATAAAATGCATACGATGACGTAATGCGCCAACGCACGCAACAAACAATACAACCTGCAAAATTTACTATCGATTTAGAATTTTCATTTTATATGATACGAAATTTCATAGTTTTACTAAAAAAACTGAGTGCCGTGCTTGTTATCATGAACCGTACCAACTGCATAGATCATGACACATTATCATGTTACATTGCTCTCATTCTCTTGTTCTCATCCTCGCGCGTTGGAAAATTAGCACCACGCGGGAATAATTTGACAACATGGCTGTCCTATATCACATAAAAAGGGAAACAAAATAGGAATGCGTTCAATGTGTGTCGCAACATCGAATGTATTATGGCAGTAAAGCATGGCAGTTCGCAACACTGTTCTTCTTTTATGTATGCGATTGTAATTCAAAAAGACCGCCAGTTTTATTGTTATGAACGTCACTCGCCCTAGAATTGGAAGGGAAGAAGCGCTGTTAATTAACGGCTCATGAAAAGCACCTGTTTGGATCAAAATTAATTTCGTGTCGACGGTGTCGTGTGCACTTTAAAGCCTGTGGAAGGCTTAAAAATATTGCCAGGAATGCGTACAACTATTCGACGATACACCACTCCTATTCGCTATGTACATTCGGGCAAATTTAAAAATTCAATAGTTCAAAAAATTTCAAAAGACGAAAACTATTAAAGTTAACGGTTAATATATAATAAATACATTACATGTTTCTATTTAATTTTGTGCATTTATATTTTTAACATTTCATTTAGCAACTAATATATATATATATTTGTGGTATATTTCAAGTTCACGAAACGATTTGAACAACGCCAGAATTCCAATTTCAAAATGATTAATTTCTTCCTCAATTCCTTCCCCATTGTCGCTAGGTGGTACTGCTTAGTAATGACGTCACATTTGGATTTTGTTCAGAAAAACTAACCTGAAAAAAGAGTATGTTTAGCAATGGGCCACTTTCACAAATATGTGCAAATTTTGATTCGTGGCAACATTCTTTCATAGCCATATACTGGCTAACTCTAGGAGATGATAGTACTTTTCACGCAATAGACAATTCCCATTATGGACTAATTTTAAAACTACGCAAGGAGATGCAAATAAATCACCACAGGCACAGCTAGAAAGAGCATATACTAAAATGAGTAAAGTTGGAAAGTTTGCAAATTTTGTATTGCGTGCGCAAATTGCTACCATTTTTGACCCCAAATGTGATAGCAATTTCCGCACGCAATACAAAAGTATACAAAATTTGCAAATTTGCATGGCTATATTTTCCGCATTTTACAACATTTCGCAACCAAACTTTGCAATGTTACTCCTTTTTGTATACTCTGTCTAGCTGTGGTGATTTATTTGTATCTCAGTCCTTGCCTAGTTTTAAAATTATAATTAGTCTAAAATGGGAATTGTCTATTTGATTGGTCGCCCAGCTCCAGATATTATAGGTTCAGATTTGACTTCCACGAAAACAAAATGGGTTCTCGTTTTGTTTCTAAAATCTAGTGCGATTTTCTTCTTTTGACGCATGTGAACGAATAGATGAGTTATGAATGTTCTGAGTATATGCCAGTGAGCTCTATATATATCTGGAGCGCGAACTTCAGTCATTCGGCCAACTGAAAAGTGAAGCCAAGATGGCGACCATTGACGTCCAATAGCTATGAAAGTCATAAACAGTTTTAATACCATTTCCCCAGCTAATTCCACTTTATCTTTAAGGGACTGTATCATTAAACAAGTTATCAGTTCATAAAACCATAGTGTTATTCTTTAAATCGATGTCAAAATGCGAAATTTCGGCACACTCCTTGCCAAGATGGCGGAAATTGAAAAGCTATAGGACGTCAGTTCCAGTCCCTTTCTATTGTTTTTCTCCACGCGGTTACAACGAAGCCAGCTTCACTTCAGTTTGAACTCGAGTTCTCGCTTCAGATATAAATACGAAGCTCACTTACCAAATTGACTTACCAGCTGTTCAAATGGCGTCCTCTCGATTTCTGACTGCATGGCGAAATCATTCAAAGCCTTCCACGGTTGATAGCCTGGATCTGAGTCTGGGCTGGAAGCTACTAACGCATGCGCAAGACCATTCCGATCTTGCAATGATTGTTGAAGCACTACTCCTGATCCGTCTGTTAAACTACACGACGACTGCAAGGTAAATGGATTGATTTTAAAAAGGTCGGTTTTATTCAATATGTATAAATATATATATGCAAAGATGGAACAACAGTCTCACAAACCACGTGGCCAGCAGACCACGTGACTTTGATGAGTGCAAATAAAGCTAATGTAGTTCACCAATTTATAAATACGGTCACGCGCTAATAAATCTTTTTTGTGTTTTGAAGAGAGACAATAGAAAACGCGATGGGTAGTAATATTCGTGCGAACCAAATGCAAATTAAATGTGTGTGTTTGGAGCAGAAACACACGACCATGCATATTTAATTAGTCATCAGACACCCTGACTACAGCCTATTTACCGATCGAGATAGGAAAATCAATTAACTGCGACAACATAACCTCAGTATGGCGATAATTGTGACCTTTTAGATCTGTCAGCAATAAACTTCAGCTTGAATTGAATTTTTGTTTGTTGCGTTTTTTTAAAATTTTATTTGAAAGTGTGCATGCCATGCAGGCAACTCCATGCCGGCGGATCGGAGGTACTACACTGATAGATACCTCAATTAATGCAGTAATGCATAGATCTCAAGACAATACCCAATATTTTGCAGTGGAAATATGGATTAAAAGTTAGTACTTGTGGTTTGAATCCAAGTTAGTACTGGTGGTTTGAAGTAAGTAAATAAGTGGGGGTGTACTAATCATCCTCACTTACAGCTGAGAGTCAAGCTGAATTACGAAGGATGCAGCCGTCAACCTGATCGAGCCGAAGGCTTTCTAAGGGCGCCTCTGGCAGCCACCTTATGACTAATGTCAGATCACGGACCACAGCTACGGTGGGAGAGTCGGTATGGGGTTTATCCCAACTCGTCCGCTCAACATTCCCTGTGGGAGGAAACCGGAGCACCCAGAAGAAAACAAGGATTCTCGGTAGAGCGTTGGCTGACTCTTTTCGCGTTCGTGTAATAAGTCCGTAGTGGGGATTGAACCCACGATCTCAAAGGTGAAAGGCGTTCCTCTGACGACGGCGCCAGCGATGCCCTAAGATGACCTTGTGGATTTTCGCTGGCTAGTCCGGTTTCCTCCAGAAATGATGCTGGAATGATATGGAACGACCTTTACTTGGACACTTTAACATTAGAACTAATAAGTTTAGAAGCGTTCATGTTGTCCAGTCTTAGACGATTCCCCTTATTACGTTTTCGTAGCGCTTTGCATTGTGGTTATAGTGGTATCACTGACATTCAAGATGGCTTCAGCATTTTTTGTCCTGACCCGTGCAAGAACTTTTAAAAAAAGCTAGGGTCAGGTGCGCGATAGCCAAACAGCAAAATATTCGCGAAAACATTCAATATTTTCATTCCAGGCCGCTATCTTTATCAGTGATACCACTATAACCACAATGCAAAGCGCTACGAAAACGTAATAAGGGGAATCGTCTATTAAACTATTCCTACAATTACAATAATTGTTCTATTTCCTTACCTGATCTTCCGGAGAACTGACAGCTCTTGTTCCCTGTTGTTTCATCTGAATCGACTTCTTTTTATCTTTACATCTTTTGTTTTGAAACCAAACTCGAATAACCCTCGGACTCAAACCGGTCATTTCAACTAACTGTTCCTTCATCATCGCGTCCGGTCGTGGATTTGCCGCGTAGCACGTCCGTAATGTGTGCAATTGTTTTTCATTAAGAACAGTTCGTACTCTGGTAGTTTTTTCTACTTTTTTAATGTTCGGTTCATGACGGACTTGAAATGTCGGTCGACCTATATTTGAACAAGAGGTTTAGCATGTTCCTTTGAAGCACACTTGGCCAAGAGTTTTAACTCCTGGTGCTCGATCCGCTGATTTACTTCGGAAACTTAAATTGGAAACTTCTAGAAGATGAAATTACTTAAAAGCTATTTTTATGTATAAAATTCTAAATGGTCACACCGCACCCAATCTAAAAGAAGTTTTTCTTTCCAATAAGGAAAGAGCAAATGCTTACAAATAAATAAAGAAACTGATTTAGCTCTTCCTATTCCGAAGAAGGAATTCGGCAGGAGGTGCTTCAATTATAAAGAAGTGGAATAATCTTCCCCGCAAGGCAAAAATTGCTGATTCCTTAAGTTCTTTCAAAACCGATTTTGAAACAAAGATTAGTTGAAACTGGCTCGTTAACCATGCAATTTAGCAATGTAACTGTGTCTTTTCGTTTTTGGAAAATCTTCATTTTAATATTTTGTAAATAGTTTATGTTCACGCCCATGCGTCGAAACGTCGAAGGCGAAGCTCTTATATTATTTTTCCGGTATCTCCCCCACACAACAACTGTTAGTTTCCAACAAAGCAAATAATAAATTCGATAAGAACAGTAAGCACAGTCTCGTCTATTTGCCTGTCCACCTCAGCCAGAAGTTAGCGCGGTCATATCGTCATATTTCGCGCATGAATACAAATTTAATTCTTGGATCTTGGCCCCAATCAAAACCCTGTCTCACCCCAACCAAGCCTGCACGCACATTCATGACATCGTTTGAGATTGGGCACAGGCTAAAATGTCCTGAAATCGTGCGTGTGCAAGGCAACTATATTGTGTCACAGAGAACACCCCTGCTCGCTGCAAATCAGGCCCCCCATAAAATTGAGAGCCTGCCACGCAGGCTAGGAGCAGGCTAACCCCAACCCCAATGGCAATGTGCACTAAACATGACCATATAACTAGGAGCCATATGGTTGACGCGAGAACTTGTGCATATAGATAGAATTCTTGTCGTTCACTTTGTGTTGGACTTTGTTGAGAAGGCCTTCTTGGATTTCTTGCCTTGCCTTTGATAATTCCCTCATAAATTATCACGCTCGACCTCATTCAACAATCATCAGTGTTGAATACATACGGTGCATCGAAAATGCGATGAGAGCACGCGGATAACAAATTGGGATTTGCGACGTCCAATGTGGAATATATCAAATACATGTCAACAACGGTTATCAGGAAGACGTCAGTTATTTGATTACAAAATTTCATGGCAAAGGTCATTGCGTATTTAGAGTTTCCGACTTGGTAGCGTTGACATTTAGGGAAAATAGAAAAATGGTAAATTCCAAAAGTCATCAAAGTCTGCGCGCGGTAAATATTATAATCACAAGGCGCAAGCGTTTGGTTATCGCAAAAACCCCATCCATTAATTGTCTCTATAGCGTTGAAGAAATTATGACGTATCAAAGGTATATGATAAAGGAAATGAACATTTTTTAATAGCATAGACTATCCACATAGACTTATTGTTGTTTTATATTTAAATAGGATAGGATATTTTTAGATACAAATGTAGTGCATGCAATTATTAAGTTCGTTATGTTTTCTCTGTTTTTGTGTGTATATTTGTGTTATTATATTTATATAGCTTGTAAATACTGTAATAAACGGCCTCTTGAAAAACAGGTGCCTACGAGCCCTGAAGAGCTACCGTTTTAAAATATTTTTAAATAATAATAATAATAAAAATAATACACTATAGGTTCTGTAAAAATTCTTTCGTCTTCTGACATAGAAGCTATGTTCGAAAGTTATACTCTTTCTCATATATGTTTGAATAAGAACAATTCAATCAACCTGACAAAAGCTTGGTCTAGCTTGCTTCGAATATTTTGATCGAAATTATGATATGCTGGCGATTAATCGACCGACCTCTCACATCGTTACCTGGTCGTCTGGACGGTTCTCGTCTATACTTCTTATACAGACTTAACCTCTCTTTCAAATTATTTTAGCACTGATAAGATAATCTCGTACAATATCGTCAGTGTCTGGCTGTAACGCACATTAATGACTCGAATTTCCGCCCATAATGATGGAATGTACTGTTTTTTATAGTAAATATTATGGTATAATTTTCAAATCGATTTTTTTAATCTAAACGATTAAATTTTAAAAACGAATTAATCCATCATTTCATTCAAGACATATTTATACTTTTCTGAGAATACTTGCACTGGGAATCGATTACCCTCTGATTAAATGTTCCCCCCCCCCCCTCCCATTTGGGATGATTCAGACAGGTGCAATCCGTCACATTAGAGACTCTGAATTCTGAATGACAATTCCCACGTGAGGAAGTATAATTAAATAATTACATAATAATGCGTGGTTATTCTGGAAGTCTCTATATAATAGGTTTCACAAAAAAAACCATTATCGAACTAATGCAGAGTAAAATTTCCTCTTCTCCTTATTAAAACAATAGTTGATGGCCAAATTATCCTCCTTTGACGTCAAATTACATAACGCTTTCTGATAATTGATTCAAATTTGTCGACATATAACATATATTTATAGTATGTTTTCATAACACGTTACACGGGCTTTATGATGTCGATATGCGATGTCCCAAGATCTTCAAGATTTTTCAGAAAGCATTAGGCCGAGGGAATTAAAGTCATAGAATACCGTCCTTATAATTTCAAAAATAGATGAGGCTTTTTTTCATTATTCATTATTCATTATTTTTAGAAATGTGTGAAAATTGGTCGAACGTCAATAAACCTGTTCAGTAATATGCCAGCAATCTTTAAAACTAGGCAGCGAATCGGCCAGCGAAGTGAAAGCTTTGCTGTACAAGTAGACTTTGCCCTTAATACATGACTTCTGCGATGAATTATAGTTTAAAGTGTAGATAATTGTTGAAATAACGAAATTTTTTGAAATACTGACTTTTTTGCGGCAGCATTTTGGACATGCGGGCGGAGGACGGTATTCTATGACTTTAACTGATTCCCTCGGCCATAAATGAGGATAATTTGCATATGAAGAAATGTAACAAATATCTCAAGAACGAAGCTAAGATAGTTTGGTCATTTTAAATTTTCTTTGCAATGTCATTGCTATCATGCGATCATGAAATTTCGATGCATAAGGCGCTTTATGAGTTCCTGTAATGTAAATTTAATAATTAAATTGTTCCTTTAAACTTGTTACTGCTTTGTAAAGTTACACAAAGTATATATAAACATTTTCTAAACTTACAAATGAATAATATAGTATTACATCCAATCAAGAAGGCATGACCTTCGGGGTTGTTAAAAATTGCTGCGGATGGTGACATTCATGGAGAAAATTCATGCCGGAAATATAAAAATAAACTTATTGTAAACTATATTGCTCGTTTGCAATCGACGCCATCTTGGTTGATTTTCATGGCAACTAAAAATCTATCTTCTTCATTCTTTGTCGTATTGTGCCAGAAATCGTAAACTATCCATAATACAGTAAGATGTTTTCAAAAACAAACCAAAAATATGAAAGTAACTCAACTATTTCGATGTAAACGGCTGGACAAAACTTTAAAATCAACAAAGATGGCGCCTAATGACACGTAGTGACGTCATGTGTAAGCAAAGAATACTGTCGCATATATTGTTAGAATTGAAAAATTACCAAGTTTAGTTAATCTTGTCACTTTTTATAGGCACACTCGACTTAAAATTAAACGCTGGTTGTTCATATTCTTATATAATTATATATAACGTCTATAGTATTGTTTTTAAAATAAGGTACAAATTTGCACGATATTCAAATTATTGTGTCACTGAAAAAAAAATACACTGAAATTGGCATATTGGAACTTGCTAGCTGCTACTGCATCCGACTAAATCCACAGTATATCGATATTATTTCCATTCTATATATCCATAGTATAGAAATTGTAAATAGTATGAAAATTATATTTCCATACCGTATTTTATCAACTAAATCCATTTCCATATAGCCTAGCTAATAAAGATTTTGAAAACAAATTTCAGGACAGTAGTCTCAATTTGTTCTTACGAAACTAATAACAATGACTAGAAAGAACGACGGATTTTTCTCATGAATATATTGAATCATGTTTCCCTGACGATGGCTCAGAAATAGAGTTGAAACACTGTTGCCATCGTGCGCGACGCATAAATATATGAATTTGAATTTGTGCATGGTAGAGCGTTTACCCCGGTTCGCTGCATGAATATGTGAGTTCAAATCCCACTTGAAGCAACTTTATATGTTGACAACACAGTGTTGGATTTTTCTCATGATAACGATTAAAAATACACTGATACTGATTGCCTTGGTACTGGCAAATTGCTTTGAGTATGATATATGAGAAAAGTTGAAATGCTTTGGCAATGAGAATGTGATTACTGGATTCTGAGACCCACGGCCACGAGTTCGGTTTTTGCATGCAGTATGAGAACAATGCTCCTACTTCTGCTCTATTCAGAACAAATACTGCGAGTTTTCCTCGGGTATAGCGCGGTTTATTCACGAACTAAAACTGGCCCAAATGAAGATGTAATCCTTAATTCATGGACCGTCAATAGGGAGATCATGCAGTTTGGAACTGCATGATAGTGGGATAATCTCACTGCAAAAAAGTTTGTCTTCAAAACTTAATGCACTCCCAGTGACTGAAAATATTGCGAAAAATTACTAAAATAAAGTAAATCTTTACTAAAAAAAATGGCTAAATTTGCTCATAAGTTTGAGTATAAGTTTTTGTGTCAAAATCATTTTGCAGTTAGTTCAGTGTATAGGGAGCCGAACAAAACAGGCGTCGTTTATCTTCAGTCGATAGCTACCACAAAGAGGATATATTGTTTGTGTGCACAAACAGAGCACATATTGTTCTTATATTGCATGTGTATATACAAAACATCTAATAATATCTCAATAAAAGGCACGAATTTTCGGCCTGTGCATGCCCAATAATTATTATATAGTTCCGGCACAAAGCAAGAGATGGAACCACAATTAATGATGTTACAGGCGTCGCCAACTCAAAATAATGAGAATAAAATGCAGTCGGCACACATTCAGTTAATTCTATATATATATATAGTCTTCCAATATGTTGTGTACATGGCATAATTTATCTATTACATTCAATAAAGCTGGTCAATATTTTGTCTGGATTATGATAGCGATAAGCATATAATATTCACCGCTCGGCCATGGTTTGACTTTATTCAAAATTTTCATCCAATATCCTCCGATATGTCCACAATGGCAATGCAAAATTGTGGCACATGCAACCGATTGTTGATTTGTTGGTTCGGCTGGAAGATTACGAATTCGGTATGAAGATCGGATCAAACGAAGATGAGCCAGTGCATTGTCAGAGTTGGCAGTCACGCTCGACCTTGGATAACTGATCTTAATGCTATCCCAACACTATATATCATCTATATTCTATATTTAAGTTTAAACATAGTTGGAACAACGGCTTTATTTTGTTAATCCAGAGCTTGAAATGTCCCCCCGATCTCCGTACCAATGCACGACTGTCAATTCTCATCACTATTGACCGGGATTTCACGTTGGCAAGGTGTTGAAATAGATTTGGTTTTATGCCAAATTTTCATAACCAAGCCTATAACTATTTCAGTGACGACGGGCCTTGCTGACAAATTTGTGGCATTTTGTGCATAGACAATTGCCCATGAAACTTTTCTCTCTACAAAAAATTGTTCGAAGTCCCTTGTTCGAGTTCACCACACTAGGTAAAATATGTGAAATTTATGCAAAATATAGTCGTACTGGACAGCAATGCGCAGCAAGTTCGATAGCACACATTTTTGTCGTAAAGTCTAAAAAGACGCTGCGTCATTGCGCAAATTTGTTTCTCAGAACACTGAGTTCCTCGCGACATCTAACTCATCTACTCATAATATTTTTGTAAAGCTACAATACTGATATAGCCGTACAAATATCTTTATGATTTGGTCTGGGTTATGAGTGTGACATACAATTTGGCATAGAATTGAAACAATTTTTTTCATGAGCAATGCTCTTTGTGAGAAAATGCATAAAAGTTTCTTATAAAAATATAAATGAAGCATCTTCGTGTTTACCGCTGCGTGAAATATACGCAGACTTTATTGTAGGTAAACAGTGCATACACTTGAGAAGACCTATATAATAATGGACATTTCATAGGCAAGCACAATATATCCTAAGTAATGTTCGTTGCGTGCACTGTACTGAACAGCTGTGTCGAATGGCTAAGCCTTGTTATGTTTGATTAAGGAAATAGTTGTCGTTTAACGAAAGGAAAGGGCTTAGTTGAAAAACTAATATCTGCGTTTAACTTTAATTAACGAAACGACATACTTTTTGTCTGCAGCGGAAATGTTGATTGACCAATTCCTATTGAGTTCACGATGTTAGCCATGATAATTGCAAATCGGCAACAATTTGAGGATTCACGGCTCCATGGCGCTATATTCAAAACCACTGATATGATTTTAGATTATATAAATATCAGATAAGACCACTTTCATGGGACACAATTGTTCCAAATCAACTCAATGCCACAGGATAGAAATCCCTCTTTTATTATAATTCTTCCATATATACTTTGATGCCAATTTTGTCTTCAGAGTATACATAACTATAACAATTGTTATATCATATTTATATAATCGAGATTTCTTTGTCTGATTTGTTTAGCCAAATATATCTGTAATAGCAAGATAAGGAAGCACAATATGTTTGAAGATGTTCAGTTAAACTAAATCTTTATATTTATAGTTCCTTCGTATTTAAAATAACCTAACTTGCATGAGTCTTGCATGACTGAAAAAATACAGTTCTGGTCAGTTCAGGGCCAGAAAGACTCTACATTCTACCACAGAGAATTGATTCGCGGTTCGAATGTGATACTGCGAAAGTACATAGAGTTGATGATTTATTGTTTGAAATTAAAAAGACCAACACCACAATATGGTTTGCGGTCTGTCTTGATAGGAATTGACAACAATTTAGTTAAACGGACAGCATGAACTTGCACGCGATATACGTCTTTCTAAGGCTCGAACAATTTTGAAGGAAAAAACCGAGAAGTTGGAATGTAGTTCTCTTTTAAGGTACAGCAGATTAAGTAGAATGGTTGAAATTGGGTTTGTACTAGTTGTTTTAGTTGTCTATACAGGCAGAACATAAATGATACACTTTTAATACTGTAACCGCTACGCGACAGGATGGCGACAATATCTGGGTCAGAAACCCCAAAATTCAATTGCCTTTATTTGTTTGGACGCCTTTTTTAATCTGTAGTCTTTCTAGACTTCGTAACTGATTTGCAAAAGCACATGCATTTCTTTAGCGATTTTTTTTCTAATCGAAGAGACTACGAATGTTATGCTTGCAACAAGTGCCACTCAACATGCCTTTGAAAGTGCCATTGCTCTATATTTTATATGCTAAGTTGAACATTGGAGATCTCGGTCCTTAGACTCTCGACACAAAGAGACATATAGAAAAGAAAATCTTTCTTCAAATATAGGAAGGACTTTTATTAAAGAAACTAGACGATTTTTTTTTCATTCTTACAACTTAAAGTTTTAAGAGCCGCGAACGCGGGCTATTCCTGTTCGTTTGATATTGCATCAGGCATGTATAGTTCCCTTATTCTTTAAATAACTGTGGTTAAATACTTCGTGTTTTTAGGCAAAAAGCCAAAGGCGTCTGGACATACGGAATTGTGAAGGAATGTATATTGAAAGGGATTTATGAGGGCGGCGGCCAACCTCTGTACAACTATATTAGATAAAAGAGATCTCTTTGCTTCGTATTGTCTTCAGACGTTTCACCATATATAAACTGTAATCGCAATGTACATGCATCCACGCAAACTCACATTTCACTATGTCTGTTGCCAACTATATTGTATTACCAAGAATTTTTTTTTACTCTTCGAAGTCAATCGGTATATTATGACTGAGGCTAGTATTTGCCCGTGCATCGGTAGTTTATATTTGTCATGTAAACGGACTCCGGCCGTTATTAAAATCTTAATGTACACTGGATGTAAAATTTACACCAATCAGTATGTTTAATCGAAGGTAACATACAGTATTTTGTATAGATGCGGGCTACAAAAATGGAGTCCTTGTCTACAAGCCTATATATAAGAATTTATTGCAGGCGTATAAAGATAGAACCCGCTTTTTTGTAAACGGATTCCACTATTAAAATCTTAATGTACAGAATTGTTTTATTGAACACAGGATGTAAAATTCAGTATAGCAGTTCGGCTAACCATGCAGCATTTTGTATAAAGGTTGCAACACTGTAGTCCTTGTCTAAGAAATTATTGCAAGCATGTGAGATAGAGCCTGCTTGTTGAGGTAAATTTGACATTTTTGTAAGCGGACTCCGCTATTAAAGTCTTAATGTACAGAATTGTTTTATTGAGCACAGGATGTCAAATTTATAGCACGCTAACATGCAGCATTTCCTCAATCAGTAAAAAAAGAAAATCAGTAGAAACGGTTCATCGTTTTATGGGGGGTTATAACGATAAACAAAACTAAACGTCATATTGCGAACTTCGGCTTGAGTGTCACACCGTGTATACGAAACGATTGTTCAATTTTGTAATCCTTTGCCAATTTCTCCGCTTTGCGAGTTTAAAGCCTGTTTAAAGTTTATTCGACAATTAATCAAAGCATGATCACAACTTTCTATGATTACAGGCAAGGACGTCTAACTCGTTGCACTAATGAAGACATCACTCGACATGTGTTGTGCGACAACTACATCGGACCAACCTCTCGCATTTTACACCCCATAGACCTACCGCAGAGATTTCTTGAAGGCTTTACACCAATTTAAATGCTATATCGTATCTGAAGTTACGCCTGCGTTCTTATAAAAGCACTGATATGCCCCGATAAGCGAAGATCATCAAGTCATAAATTTACTTCGTACGGAAACGAACGCATACATATATATATATATATATATATATATATATATATATATATATATATATATATATATATATATGCGTTAAGCGCATCGCAAACCCAGCTTGCATGACTTGATTATAAAATGTACAGTACAAGTATAAATATTGAAACAAGGCTATAGCTTACCTGTGTTTATGGATACGGCAATATTTTCCGTACTATAATGTTCTCTGGCTTTCTCTAGGATAATGTGATCGGCTTTACAAAATAAGCCGTCATCTCTAAGAGCGAATTCCTCACCGCGTACCAATTGCTTGCTACATGCGACGCAACGAAAACAGTCCATGTGAAATATCTTATTTTTAACCCTCATAACATAATCCTTCTTGTTAAAACCTTGATTACATTTTGCGCATTTTGAACCAAATAACCTAGAAACGGAGTATTTATGGTTTAGTGTGGGGGTAATTTTAAACTATAGGACAAGAGCGGAGTTGGCCACTGACAAGTCGATCTGTGCGTGGGTGCGTTGCAAGATTTTATTGCGGAATGCTTTAGTTTCCGAGATGCGTGTGAAATAAACTTGCCACAAGAACGTTCAATAAATGAGTAGAGTAAATAGCTTTCGTTTGATCCAAATGAGAACTTCAAACAATGATGTTGAAGTTTACACGCTGAACAGGGTGAATATTAGTATGTGAATAATTGTTATTAGCGGATCACGGATACGCTCGAGTGGCCGAATGTCGTATGTGTCTCGAATAACCGTGAAATCTTTCAGCTTTTTGCGATTGCTATGAAGTGAAAGATTACAGACAAAGGCATTTGGGTAGCTCAGTTCCAGTGCGATGTAGATCAATAGGACCGCTACACTGGACTTCGGAGGCGGGGCGAATTGATCGAACTAAACATGTAAGCGCCAAGTCTATAATCGCTTGACCACTGAGATTTTTAACAGTGATGAGGGGATATATATATTGAGCGTGTGGCAAACGGCTCAAGCCTTTACTAGCGTCTTAGCACTCACTTATAAACATACACAAAATCAGGGTGGGCATTATGAATGAAATACAAATAGATTAACGAGAGACGTTCATGCTATGGTTTAGTTCACAACATACTCATTTATCGATAAACATAAATGAGACCCCCTTCCTTTCTACGGAAATTGTGAAAATTATATTGGATCGAGGCACTCGTATTATATACTACAGTTTAAAGGCTTATATTGATGAAGCATAAACATTTACCTATAATAGTCGCGTTTGCAGTACGTTTTGCCATCGCGTACAAAACATGTACATGTCTCATCCAAGGCGACATTACACTCCGAACATTTTAAACAGGTAGCGTGCCACTCAAGATCAGGCGAAACTCTCAGTATAAATTGATCGGTGATTTGAGCGCCACAACCAACGCATAACGCTATTCTCCGAGACGAGTCTGAAATGAAATTAATGTGCACTGTTATAGTCAAACAATCTATATGTCAAAATTCAAGAGTTAAAGGCGGTTGAGTGTAACGTCATTATGCCATACTGTAGCACTGATATTAATACTTAACAATATACAGCAGCGTTTAGAGTGTTGTTAAAATATGGATGCTAAGAATAGCGAGGTGTAAATTGCTTTTGAAGCTAAACACATTACTTTGTATCACACCAGCGTTCATCATGGCGGTACTTGCAATAATACGCGAAGGCTTCCTTGGAACGCCAACTCTGAGAGGTAAACTGCAGCTATGTTGCATGGGTTCTGTCTCGAAAGACCAGCTATCATTCAACCGGGCCGTCTTTGTTGCCACACGTGATTTCAACGCACCGGTTATTGGTCGAAAGCTTGCCGAAACTATTCGACAAATTTGGTGTCGTTATCTCGCGCGGGATTTTGATTGGCTCACGAGGCAATATACTCGAGAACAGAAAGTATCTACAGTTTCACTACACACTACACTATAGTCGCACACTTGGGGCAGGTGCTACGTGGAGAGTATTCGATAATCGATTGTCGTGTTCAGTACGAAAATTACTATAATATAGCGCGCATGCGACTATCGAGGGATATGCATATATACACAGACGCATAATTAACTGCGTTTTAACAGGTGTGCGCAGGAGAGCCCGACTATATACACGAAGAAAACAGACGCATGTTGTAGTGTGATATTCTAAGTTTGCTTTCTGGCGGTAAAAAATCTATCAAGTCTTGACAGGGTTTATTTTGATTAGTGGACTGTTTAAAGTATCACGCAGCGTCAATCATATACCGTAAACGACAGTTTTCATTAAAGGAAGCTATTTAAAACGATAAGGACTCAAGCAAAACATCACTACGGCGGTTTAAACATGAAAATCTGAATAAAAGCAGCGTCCATAACTCGGAAAATTGAAGAAGAGTTTTGTGATAAATTCGAAATCATGTTCAGTCATTAGATCAAAATATTTTCTAAGTCGGCGTAGACGTGCTTCACTTCAAATGCTCATAAGTTCAAATTTTTCCGCGCCTTTATAATCATAGATGTAGTATACTTTGTAGCGTACTTTATAAAGATCTTGGAAGCAATATCGCGTCAGAGTAATGCAAAATGCAGTACTGTACAAAGTTCAAAACATAATCTTGTTATCATGTACATGTTCATCGATGGACGTACATGGTATGGGCTATTTGTGCTCTTAATAATTATCCCAAGGGAATTTACTACATTCCAGAAGCGTGGAACGAATATCGTGAATTCGTGAGTGGGGCTGACACGTTTTTGATCAAAGTGTCAAGTGCTTCGACCACTTGACACAAAACAAAGCGGCGAGCTTTGCATGATGCTTGTCAGGTATTCACATAAATTCTGGCGAAATGCAGGCGCTGTTTACTCATTTTTGAATCATTCATAACCGTTTGCGCAGGCCGTACGGCGCCCCGACTTACACTAGCGATCATTGTATCAAAATAAACTTCGAGCACTTGACGTTTTATGTCTTTTTATATGTTGTAGACATGGCTTCATAAATGTGTATGGCTGATCGTATCTGACGCTAATACAATTTCTCCTGATGCTCAGAGATAGCTGCGTGTATTGTTATTGCTGTTTTTCACAATCGATATTGTACGTTGCATATGGCTGTGAAATCTGGGCCCAGCTTGAGTTGAGCGCAAATACTATCTCAAGTTGCTCATCATGTCGAAACGCTGTTGTTGTCTGCCAACAGCAAGACGGGGTACCTAATTTGTATTCAAAACAAGACAAAATAGCATTGTTGCTGTGTTTGCATAAGAGTGCACGAAGGCAGCCAAGCTTTTGTTGGCTTTATCGTTTGATCAATAGCATGAGAATAATAAGCCTATAGATGAAACGGTATGATAATACGCCCTAATTATTTGATTGACAATATTCAAACTAACATTTCACAAGCGACTGCCACCTGCGAGTATCTTTAGTGTGCCAGCGCTTTCTTTCTGACGTTAGGGGCTGGGCAGCTTTTAAGCTATTTTTGTCTGACCTTATTATCCGCCATAGAAATCCAAAATGTCGCTATTTAAGCCTGTTGTCTCAATGCGTTCCACATTATTTCACCCAAATTGGGATTATGCATCGACGACAACGGCTGGTGAAGAAACTTTAGCTATAACTAATAGTTTGCTGAATTAATTTCTTTGTTGACTCGGCTAGTTAGCGCTGAGACCGCGAAGGCTTAAGTCTCAATAGAAATCTTGTAATGCTAACTGTGTCTTTAATAAGCCCCTTGTCCTCCTTATTAACGGGCATTGAAAGCCTTGGCATGTTATACGTGTGATTGAGAATACGCGAAAGGGATTATTTTCTCGTTGAAGTTAACAAAAGGACGCATTATAATAACAGCAATCATAAGGCATAATAGGAGTTGAGTGGCAAATACTACAGACTTAATAGGAAAATAACTACACATATATAAATATAAACATGTTTCGCTCTATGAACACGCAGATTCCCAGCGTCTATATATAGTTTATTTTCATAACACCTCAGTACGCCGCCGTGAGCTATTCAAACACGTTCAATATTCGCTACTGTGCCTTTATAGTGATCATTAAGCGAAAATTTGAATCAATTACTAAAATATACTAAAAGCGGCTCCCTGTAGTTAAACCTAAGTACTAATTATTCCGTTTAAAGCATGCTTGTTTGAAAGGCCATACAACAAAGATTTTCCCATGCAGAAAATACTCAAATAAATCCCCTCGCGTTTGTTTTGCTACTGAATAAACTCGGCACGCGTTACGGGACTTATAGCCAAACGACTGCTAATGTATTTAGCATTAAGAACAAAACATCTATCGCAGATTAGTCTTCTTAAACAGTGTTAAGGCTAAACTTTTTATTGAAAGCGTTTTCCGAAGCGGCAACGGGGTTAATCGCGCGGTCTTGGGTTATATCGCACGTCTAACAATGGCCGTAGCCAAGTTTTCGTTTCTTAATCCAACTTCAGAGAGTCGAATGCGGCCGAAAATTGACATTGATCTATCGTTCGGTTCTTCACGGCTAGACTTTGCGCTGCCTTTTAGAGTATCGTTACAAACTTTAAGCCGTTTAATTAGGGCACTGTGCGCCGGCAAGCCTTAGGGAATGAGAAAAATAGGCTGTGTTCTGAATTCCAGCTTATACGAGTGCAGTAGGAGTGTGTCAATGTGATTTTAAAATATTTGATAGCTATATAATACATTGTTTAGTCGCAAATGTGCGTGGTGAGTGTGTAAACAAAGATTTATAAAACGATACTCCTACAATTAATGTCTTTAGTATACTTTACACCTTATGAATTTCAATTATTTGAAGAACATAAGCAATGTGAGGTTGGCGTGTCCTTTAATCCGTTCAAGTGAGGCTTGACGAGTCCCGAAACACTTCACAGCTTGACATCGCCATTGGTCTGAATTTAAAATGTCGTTAATCCTCGAACGCCTGTCAACACTGTAGTCCACACTTGAAGCGTGCGCAAATCGTGAGATTATATACCTATGATTGTTTGTTCCTTACTGTGCCCAGTCAAATACCACAGACATCAAAAGTATTTACACGTGGTGGGCGCTAAATTACAATATGTTATCTGTGAATTAACACTTCCACGCCTTAAATTTTATTTAAATAGTTTAGAGCACGCAGCTAGTCGGCTTTAATGCATGGGAGGGAATCGTGTTAAAGAAAGCAATGGGATTTTGAACGAATGTACACTGACACTGTAAATATGTACATGTACATGATGCTATGAACCTATCAATTCTAGACGTCGCTTACTAGCTAAATTGGCAATCTTCCTCATATTCTAAATGTTCGAGAAAATTCACGCGAGTTATCAGCCTTATCTACAGGCAACGCTTCAAATATGGCGTATATACAGGCTGGTTTTTACAGACTGCAAAAGTTTCTGTGATTATGAGTTGTGTCTGATCAACTTTTATGATTGAATCGCGTCTTCTTTTTATCATAATTAAATATGTGTTTTAGTTTGAGACTGATATACTTTTATTATTTCCCCGAGGTTAAGCCTATACAAAGTATAGAGACTCGAAATTTCTAGCAAAGGTATTTTGAACCCCGGTTCTGTATTCCTTAATTCCGACTGACTGAACGTTTTGTAACATAAAATGTTTCTTGAGTGAAACATGTTTCAACTAGTCTATACCAGACTAATGCTATCTCAATTTATATATAGCTGAATCAAGTTTAATACCAGTGGATTAATTGAAGACTATCAATAATCATTTAAAAAAAAAACTCGACTTTCTATCCGATTGAAGCTGCTCATGCAGTTTTGATCTTTTATATAAACATTTCAACTGTGATTATCATGAGATCACTGAGATTATTATTCTACCACATGCACGCGCGCTGAACAAACACTATAGAAATTGACGGAGATCTGATATAGTCTGCAATAACGGATTCCTCCCAGAAATTCTGAACGTTGTCGTTGTCTGCAGGGATTGTAGTTTTAAAGAAATTTTATTACTGCACAAAAACCCCCCATAAAATAGCAGCATACATACATGAGTATGTCACACAGCGAAGGAGCACTGGGACTGAGCACAGCTCTCTGGATTATACGTTATTTAAGGCTGTACTGGGAAGTCCAAAACAGGAAAATTTACGGCTTTGTAAACTGATGGGAACCTATGAAAAGGGATCCAACTAGGTGATGGGGAATTGCAAAGATTGCAAAAGACAGAACCTTTCGGGGGACTTGAGGTCCTTATCCAGAAAATGTTCGTACTGAAAATGTGCATTATGTATAAAAAGTATAGTTGGGTTCCATCTTTTTACGTGTTTCCAAACCCATTGCGCGAGCAAGGAAAACATGCGGTATTGTAGAACTGTTTGGCGTAAGCTAATCAGGTTTTCCGGTAAGCTCAAGTAATCATAATTTCTTCGTTGAAGAGCTACTCCTGAGCTAAACGCTTAAAAATTCATCAAACGATCCATTAAATTATCTATTCCCACCCAAATATATGCAATGTATGTAATTTTTTTGGACCTAAAGATCGAAATGTATTCAGTACAGCCCTGAGAATATATTTGGAAATTGGGAGTTGGGACTCCTAAAAGAATTTTAAATTGACAACCAGTTGACAACCTGTTGTTATTATTATTCTGCACAAAGTCTGTTGTCTATTTTCTTTCTTAGTCAAATCCACGTAATCTTATTAGTCTTCCCTATAGCATTACTAGGGATTTCCACTCTTCAAGTTATCAGGTTTAAATTTAAATTCCAACAACCTCCC